AGACAAATATGGGTATTCAGGATTCAGGGCAAGCCAAAGAGGAGAGCCCTGGAAACACTGTATGTGTGGAGTCGGGGTCCCCAAAGGGGCCTGTGAGTTGGGGTGAAAAGGGAAAGCCCAGCCAAGCCAAGCATGGAGGGCGCAGCACAGAGGTCCTTCCTGCAAACCTGCAGCGGGCAGCACAGTAACCAACAGCTCCAGCTGCACGTGCTGCCCCCAGCACCAGCACGAGGTGAAACACAACCTACGTAGCAGAGGAAAACACACGCACATCACACCTGCTAGACTCCGAGGACGCACAAAGAACGCCCACAGCTCAGCAGAGAAAGACAGTCCAACTGGAAAAATGGGAAACAGACCTGCACGGACATTTTTCCAGATAAGATGTACACACACACAAGTGCATGAAAATACGCTCAGAACCACAGCCATGAAGGAAGTGCAAACCAGAGCCTGAGTGAGCTACTACTCCACATGCACTAGTTAGCTATGACACTAACAGGGAGGGACACACGTTGGTGAGGAAGTGGAGGCACAGGGATCCCCCCGCCCTGGTGAGGGGGACGCAGTTGGGAGTTACTCAGAACATTCAGCAACTCCACTGCTAGGTACTCCCCGAAAGAACCGAAGGCAGGGACTGAGCGAACGCGTGTGCAGGAATGTTCACGGCAGTGCTGTGCACAGGAGCCAAGGGGGCATCAGCCCACGTGTCTATCGGGGGCTCGCACAGACACTGGAGTATTATTCAGCTGTGAAACAGGAATGAAGCATGATGTACGCTACACACAGAAAATCCTCAAAAACATCTCCCTGAAGTGAAAGAAGCCACGTGGGAAAGGTTCCACATTGCGTTATTCCATTTATATGAAATACTCAGAATAGCCAAGTCAGTAGGGACAGAGAACAGACTGTGGCCACCAGGGACTGAGGGGAGGGGAGAGTGAGTGAGTGCTCATCCGACACAGGGGTCCCTTTGGAGTGATGAGAATATTTCAGAACTAGATGGAGGGGGTAGGTATACAACATTTCATTCATGTTCTTTAATTATTTTTTTTTTTTTTTGACAGGCAGAGTTAGACAGTGAGAGAGACAGAGAGAAAGGTCTACTTTCCGTTGGTTCATCCCCTCAAGTGGCTGCCACGGCCAGCGCTGCGCCAATCCGAAGGCAGGAGCCAGGTGCTTCTCCTGGTCTCCCATGCCGGTGCAGGGCCCAAGCACTTGGGCCATCCTCTACTGCCCTCCCAGGCCACAGCAGAGAGCTGGCCTGGAAGAGGGGCAACCGGGACAGAACCGGCGCCCCGACTGGGACTAGAACCCGGTGTGCCAGCGCCACAAGGCGGAGGATTAGCCTAGTGAGCCACGGCGCCGGCCTTAACATTTCTTTATAGTGACAACATCCAAAGTCCTATCTTCCAGTTCTTATCAAATAGAGAAATATAGCATACTAGTTGCCTATAATCACTCTACTGTGCAGCAGAACCCACAACGTCTTACTATCTAGCTATAACCTAGTACCCATCATCCAGCCTTTCTCCATCCCTCCACCCCACTTCCCTACAGCCTTTGGCAACCATCATATTTTTAACTTCTTTGGGTCTGGCACTGCGGCACAGCAGGTTAAACCCCCACCTGCGATGCCAGCATCCCGTACAGGCCCCGGTTCAAGTCCTGGCTGCTCCTCTTCCAGTCCAGCTCTCTGCTGTGGCCTGGGAAAGCAGTGGAAGATGGCTCAAGTGCTTGGGCACCTGCACCCACACGGGAGACCCAGATGGAGTTTCCAGCTCCTGGCTTCAGGATGTTATGGACATTTGGTGAGGGAACCAGCGGATCGAAGTCTCTCTGTCTCTTTCTAACTCTGCTTTTCAAATAAATAAATCTACACCCCCGCATCTGAATGTCTGGTTCCAGTCCTGGATACTCTGAGCTCCTGATTCAGCTTCCTACCAATGTGCAATGCCCCCTAGGAGGCAGCAGATGATGGTTCAAGTACTGACCCTGCCACCCATCTGGGGGACCCAGATTAGGTTCTGGGCTCCTGGCATCAGCCCGGCTCAGCCCTGGCTGTTTCAGGCATCTTGCTGGGGTGCGGGTGGGGGGGAGCGTGTGAACTAGCAGATGGAAGATCTCTCTCCAACTGTCTCTTTGTCTTCCAAATAAAAATGAAAATAAATAAATAAGTAAATAACTAAATAACAGACCCTGAGGGGTTCAGAGGATGCTCCTCCCCGGAGACGTCAGAGAGGAGACGTGAGGGGCCGCCTGGGTACTGCTGCATTTCACCAGCCCGGCAGACACATCCCGCACCCCCACGAGGACCTGCCCACGGTACGTTTCTTCTTGCTACTGGTTCTCAGGTCCATATCCCAGCGCTGAATCATTCTAAGGAACAGATCTCCAACCTATCAGTGGAAATCAGTAGCCTGAAAGGCACGCAATTTTCTCCACTTGACATTTTCCTTCGGAACTGATGACCAAGTGATCTGTAAACATGGGTGCTGGCTGGCTGACAGGGCAGAACGCTGAGGCCAATTCTATTTCTCCCAGGAAGTCAGAGGTGTGCGGAGGGCAGCGCGCAGAAAGAAGGTGCCACACGGAGGTCAGCACACCAGACTGCCACGGATCGTCAAACCAACCGCAAGCATCCTTTCACCACCTCCAAATACCCAACCGTGGGCTTGGAAAGCAGCGCTTGGCTTGGGTTCCCCTCCACAGTCGGTGCTCCCGGGGCCTGGACACCTGCAGCTCCTGACTGAGCTTCCCCAGGGTGGCCCCAGGCAGTTTCTGTTTCCAAGCAGGGAGCGCTTAGTTTGTAAACCACTGCAGAAACAATGCGCGTCCTTACAACTGAGAAAATTAGAGCTCCCAGCTACCTTTTCTCCCAACTTGCTTCCCATGTGCTTAAACGTAAATTGTAACCAAGTTATTTAGGGGCACTAAGTAACTAAACACGGTGGTGCAGTGGGCTAAGCCTCTGCCTGAAGGGCTGGCATCCCATATGAACACCGGTTCTAGTCCCAGCTGCTCCTCTTCTGATCCAGCTCTCTGCTAGGGCATGGGAAAGCAGTGGAGGATGGCTCAAGTCCTTGGGACCCTGTACCCATGTGGGAGGCCCAGAGGAAGCTCCTGGCTCCTGGCTTTGGACAGGTCCCAGCTCTGGCTGTTGCAGCCATTTGGGGTGTGAACCAGCAGGTGGAAGACCTTTCCCTCTGTCTTTCTCTCTCTCTGTAACCCTACTTCTCAAATAAATAAATAAAATCTTGGGGATGGGCGCTGTGGAACAGCGAGATAAAGCCCCAGCCTGCAGCACCAGCATCCCATATGGGTACCAATTCAAGTCCCGGCTGCTCCACTTCCAATCCATCTCTCTGCTATGACAATGGAAAGCAGTGGAGGATGGCCCAAGTCCTTGGGCCCAGCATTGCACGGGGGACCCAGAAAAAGCCCCTGGCTCCTGGCTTCAGATCAGCCCAGCTCCAGCCTTTGCAGCCATTTGGAGAGTGAACCAGCAGATGGAAGAACTCCTTCTCCCTACCCCCTCTGGCTCTACCTCTCTCTGTAACTCTGTATTTCAAATAAATAAAATAAATCTTAAAAAAATAAATTTTTTTAAAAAAGTTATTTAAATACCTTAACAAAATGATACACATATTTTAAAACAGTTGAAATGTCCCTACAACTAAATCAAGGTAGTTGTTGACCTTTAATTAGTCTTATTTTAAATGTTAATAAATACTTTCCCCAGAAATTTATATGTAAGGGACAACAGGATGTCAGCAAGATATCAATTATCCATAAAAAAATATTATCTCAAAAGTATGGCCTTTTTCATGTAAATATTACTAATTTTTTAAAAAAGATTTATTTATTTATTTGAAAGGCAGAGTTAGAGAGAAGGAGAAACAGAGAGAGAGAGAGAGAGAGAGAGAGAGAGAGAGAGGTCTTCCATCCATTGGTTCACTCCCCAAACCATCACAATGCCTGGGGCTAGGCTGGGTCAAAGCCAGGAGCTTCTTCCGAGTCTCCCACGTGGGTGCAGGGGCCCAAGGACTTGGGCCATCTTCTACTGCTTTCCCAGGCCACAGCAGGGAGCTGGATCAGAAGTGGAGCAGCCAGGACTCAAACCAGCACCCAAATGGATGCCAGTGCTGCAGGCAGTGGTTAAACCCACTGTGCAACAGCCTGCTGTGTAAATACCGTTTTCATTGTAGTAAATAACCAATATGAAGAAAACATAATTTAAGAGGTCACATATACAGGATTTAAGAAAAAGAACAGAAAAGTTAGAGTGAGTGAAATAATCAGAAAATGAAGCTGAAAACAGATGATTCACCAAACTGAGAAAATAAAGAACACCAAACAAAGAAATCAAACCTTTTAACTTTTCACAGAATTCTGGCATTCGAACAGGCGCTCTTAGGAGTCTGACCAGAATTCTGCCAACTATGTTCCCTCCAATGCTTCTGGGATTTGATGCTAATCACAACACTGTAAATTGAGATTCTTGTATATTAAAACAAAAATTCTTTTAAAAACATTTCATAACCTCAATACACTTTAAAATACGTTTTAAAAGAGCATGAATACCTAAACACCATAAAACGAAATAAATTAATATCATATCTGTTGAATTAAAATAAATCACATGTGGTTTGTCTCTAAATAGGCTGCATTCCAAAACCTGACCTATCGACAACTGTTTAGAGGTCAGAATACATTTTCCACACAGAATACGGTCTGATGGCCGACAGCACGACTCCTCCGCCCGACTGGGCCCCAGGACACCTAACGGCACCTCTGGCCTTGCTGCCACTGCCAACAGCCCAATCCTGCTCCTGCATCTCTGACAACAGACACTGTCTACACTGCGGCATGTGCCTGCCGCCCGGGGAGCAGGGCTCTGCAGCCAGCAAGTGCTAGCCACTCTACGGACACATCTGTGTGCAAATACAGTGTACACAATGAGGAATCACTCGGGGTTCTGTCTGTGTGCACACCTGTGTACAGTGTACACACTGAGGAATCCCTCAGGGTTCTGTCGTCTGTGTGCATGTGCTGTGTACAGTATACACACTGAGGAATCCCTCGGGGTTCTGTACTCTGTGTGCACACCTGTGTACAGTATACACACTGAGGAATCCCTCGGGGTTCTGTCTGTGTGCACACCTGTGTACAGTGTACACACTGAGGAATCCCTCGGGGTTCTGTCTGTGTGCACACCTGTGTACAGTGTACACACTCAGGAATCCCTCGGGGTTCTGTCTGTGTGCACACCTGTGTACAGTGTACACACTGAGGAATCCCTCGGGGTTCTGTCTGTGTGCACGTGCTGTGTACAGTATACACACTGAGGAATCCCTCGGGGTTCTGTCTGTGTGCACGTGCTGTGTACAGTATACACACTGAGGAATCCCTCGGGGTTCTGTCGTCTGTGTGCACACCTGTGTACAGTGTACACACTGAGGAATCCCTCGGGGTTCTGTCTGTGTGCACACCTGTGTACAGTGTACACACTGAGGAATCCCTCGGGGTTCTGTCTGTGTGCACGTGCTGTGTACAGTATACACACTGAGAAATCCCTTGGGGTTCTGTAGTCTGTGTGCACACCTGTGTACAGTATACACACTGAGGAATCCCTCAGGGTTCTGTCGTCTGTGTGCACACCAGTGTACAGTATACACACTGAGGAATCCCTCGGGGTTCTGTAGTCTGTGTGTGTGCACACCTGTGTACAGTATACACACTGAGGAATCCCTCGGGGTTCTGTCTGTGTGCACGTGCTGTGTACAGTATACACACTGAGGAATCCCTCAGGGTTCTGTCTGTGTGCACGTGCTGTGTACAGTATACACACTAAGGAACTGCTTGCCAGTCAGTCACAGGAAGGGGCAGTGCCCCACACCTCTGCTCTATGACTCTGCTATCTGCGACAAGGCCAGCAATAGAGACCTGTGCCACACACAATACAAACAGGCTGCTGCTCTCTGGCAGAGAACAGAAATCTTTAACCACTCATATTCTCAGCTCTTCTTGGGCCACTTGATAGCTCAAGAATAGGTGTGCAACCCGTCTTTTTAATGGTATAGGACCTATGGCATGAGTTCATGTGCACCACATCTCACAAAGGTCAATTTAAACTTTTTTTTTTTTTACCATAAACTTTTCACCTTGTTTTCTATCTGATAATACATGTATTTCTGCATGTAGACACAAACCCTTTTTTGACTGAGATTGGGCATAAATTACTAAATAAAATAGGAAAAATTACTCTTCCCCAGCTCATCACACCCCCCTGGCCCACTTAATCCTCTTCAAGTGTCCTTGTGCTAGACCTCGATCTTCCAGTTTCCATCACAAATGTGTGAAGCTACTCAAAGCACACACTAAACCATTCTCTTCGCTGAGCTGGGTCATATACGTAAAGACCTGCACACGGTTTACAACTATGCCCTCCCCTGTTTATTAAAAGGCCGTTTCCCCTGGGACAGCCCCGGAATTCTGGATGCTGGCTGCCCAGCAGGGGGGAGGACCTGCACCCCCTCCTCGTGCTGCTGCTGGTTCTACAAGTTTTCCCTTCCCCCATTACAGCTTGTTCCTCACCCATGTCACAGGTTTCCTCCTAGCCCTGCACCACGACAGAGACAGACGGTGATGCAGGAGGGGCCCATCTCACGCAAGTGACGTCTACCCAGGGTCCCACCTGGCCCGACACCCTCAGAAGAGTTGTCACAGTGCTGAAAATCACCACTTCCCTCTCATTTACTCTGCAACACAACCTTTCCCAAGCCTCAGATCAGACTGGCAAGATAATCTCACACAGATCCACCAACAGGTGAGTGGATACACAATACTTTGAGTTCCCTTACATACGCCAGTGTGAGCTGCAAACTCCTAGGCCAGATGGAAGAGAGGCACATATGTATCACTCCGCTGATGGGAGACAAGGCTCATGTACAGTGCCAGAGGGCAGGCTGCTGGTCTGGGCCAGCAGCAGAGGGCAGAGCGGCACAAGTGAACTTCATGGAGAGGTTGCTTCTGACAGCAGATATCTGACATCCGGGACAGTCATTGCAATGACTGTAAACTTTCCTAAACTCAGCACACCGTGCACTTAAAGTAGGTGCAAATGTGGTATTCCTGCTAGAAATGCTTAACTTTGGAGAAATGGTGAGAAAACACAAGATAAATCCAAATTGAAGTGTATTCTACAAAATAACTGACCAATTCTTGTCAAAAATGCCAAAATCAGGGCGGCCATTGAGCACAGTGATTAAGGTGGCTGCGTCCCCTACCACAGTGCCTGGGTTTGGCGCCCAGCTCCGGCTCCCGACTCCAGCTTCCTGCTAGTGGAGACCCAGAAGGCAGCAGTGATGCCTCGAGCACTGGTTCTTGCCACCCATGTGGGGTATGAGATTGAGTTCCTGGCTTCTGGCTTCACTGCCAGCATGTGGGGAGCGAACCAGCAGCTGGGGACGCTCTCTCGCTCTCTCTTCAAATAAATAAAAATTAAAAAGACAAATGCCAAGGTCATAAAACACAAGGAAAGACTATGGAATCGCCAGTGGAGGAGACAAGACAAATGAATGCAAAGTGGGGCTCAGGAATAGGAAGGAGACAGTAGGAGGAGAACTGACAGAACTCAGATGCAGATTCTAGTTGAGATGGTAACAGTTGCCCCTGCCAATCTCTCAGCTTCGCTAACTCTATCATGGCTATTTAAATCTTAATGTTAGGTGAAGTTGAACAAAGGATATATGGAAAGTCCTTGTACCATCTTTGCAACTGTTTGAATATGAAATTATCTGGAAAGAAGTTTTTAGTGGGTGTATTTTCTTGTGTATAAATTTTAACTCCTTAAAGGTGATTTAAAATTAAAACAAAAATAAATCAGTTATTAAGAAACTACACTCTCCCTAGCCTGAGTCTCCATTTAAGCTCATTTGGTAATATTTATATCAAGAGTAAGATTAACTACCAGAAGAAGAATTCCAATTCTTCACTTTTCAATATTTGAATCAATACATCTAGTGGACAAACACACTATTCCTCACCTAACAGGATCTAGAAAGGTTACCAATTAAAAGCATCAGAATTACTCTCTTTGCGATCACAGTGATAATAACAACAGAATCCTTGTGCATTCAAATCACAATAGTTAATAACAGAATTCAAAACATTGAAATCTGCAGTAAAAAATATTTTCTATGTGTCTCACATCTCTTACACACAAGAATTGTAATTTGAACTGCAAAAACTCAAGAAACAGACATGGGCAAGAAAAACATTCAGAGAAAAATCAAAACGCTTAAAGCATACCTCCTCTGTTTCCATTTTCTTCATCCTACAAGATAAAAATATATATATATGAATACACACTTATATACTCTGTTCAGTTCAGATGACAGCAAGGCTCAATGTAATTCAAGACGACCTCCCCCAAATGTGCACTTAACAATCTCACTGCCAACACCTTATGCCAGGGCGGGGGAGAGATGAGAGGGCCCTGCTAGGTAGGACAGGTTAGGGAAGGACCTCAGGAGGTCAGCTTCAGCACGCAGCGTGGGAGATGCTGACAGTGGAACAGTCAGGAAGGCAGTGGACACACTGGAACGTGGGAGGGAGGGTTAGGCACTTTTTACTGCATTTAAAGATGCCTTGAGGCCCAGAAACACATATACAAATTGGTTCCAAACTGCTACATACATCAGTTCTTAATACTCAATGTTGAGGTTTGCCTATTTAGTATTTTTTGTTGCTACCAGGCTATCCAGTGTCTATCTCTAGCCGGGATATTAGAAGAGCAACCTAGGCCGGCGCCGCGGCTCACTAGGCTAATCCTCCGCCTAGCGGCGCCGGCACACCGGGTTCTAGTCCCGGTCGGGGCGCCGGATTCTGTCCCGGTTGCCCCTCTTCCAGGCCAGCTCTCTGCTGTGGCCAGGGAGTGCAGTGGAGGATGGCCCAGGTGCTTGGGCCCTGCACCCCATGGGAGACCAGGAGAAGCACCTGGCTCCTGGCTCCTGCCATCGGATCAGCGCGGTGCACCGGCCGCAGCGCGCCGGCCGCGGCGGCCATTGGAGGGTGAACCAATGGTAAAGGAAGACCTTTCTCTCTGTCTCTCTCTCTCACTGTCCACTCTGCCTGTCAAAAAAAAAAAAAAAAAAAAAAAAGAAGAGCAACCTGAAAAAGTAGTATAAGAAGACCCCATTCAAGCAGGACAGAGCCGCTCCCACATGGAAGCCCCGGGTACTGCAGAGGGGAAGCACTGAAGGGTGATCACTCCTTACATAACTTCTGACCTTTGTTTTGGCTGTCTGAATGTTGTTTCCTCCTTCCTCTGGTTGTAAGCCCTGCTCCGGGACTAACAAGCCTGCCAGCTAAGTGATACAATGGAGACATTGTTGCATTCGTTGCTCAGCTTCTAAGAGCCACACAATATCGACATTAAGGAAATTCGTTATGAAGTGAATTGATGCAATTTCATAGCTTAAATGGAAGTGATTTCAGTGTGTATTTCCCAGGTAAACTTTGTAGCACAAACCACCTACATCACACAGTAGCACTGCACTGACAGAACTCACTGGGCGGTTGCCACGGGTTCACCTCAGTTCCTGTGCTGTGTCTGACAAGGACTATTTACCAGCTGGTCATCACTCAGGAAGAAGGTCCCACCCCTGTCTGCTGGGTCACCTGTTACAGGTCACGGAGCTAAGGCAGGCAGAGACGGGTCGCAAATCAAGGTGCTTGTGACTCCAATGACTGTGATGTTAACAACTACACCATACAATTAAATTTCTAGAAATATTTTCCAATAGTAGTTTTTAATGTGTTTAATAATCTTTTAAAAATTAGACTACCTGTTTATTCACCCAAGCTTTCATTCAAAACAGAACAAAAACAAGAGGGAAAACATACTTAACCCTGATATGTAGTCACCAAGTATTTTCAGATGTGACCTAATACCTGAATCATACTATTTTAGACCTTTTAAGATCAAGCAGACTTCCAGGGAATCCAGCCTGCAGCTTTGGAGACATTTTGGGAAATCCAAGCTTGTAAATTTTAACTCCAAAGGTAGCAGCTATTCATAACCCTTAAAAACTATACAGTACTTCAAAAAGATTATCCTATAAGACATTTTACTAGGAAGATATATTTAACAAAACAGACACCTGGAGGCCACAGGAACCACAGTGGCTTGGCCGTGAGTTCAGTCTTCTGAATGTTGTCATTTCTACTGCACTGTTGGGTAAGTCAAGTGCCTGCCGTCTGCACTGGCCAAGTTCAAATCCCAGGTCCACTGCGTGCCCATTACACGACTGAGATCTGCTTTCACAGTCTGCTCTATGGGCCAGTAAGACCACTTGCCCCATAGATTGGAGCAGACGAAGGGAGATATGGTCACAAGGAACAGACAGGACACGGAGCCAGTGCCTGCTGTGTCACTGAGGCCATCGCTGCCCCCCATACCCCTGCACTTCCCTGCGGGGGACACTGGTGTGACCACAACTCCCCCCATACCCCTGCGCTTCCCTGCGGGGGACACTGGTGTGACCACAACTCCCCCCCCATACCCCTGCACTTCCCTGCGGGGGACACGGGTGTGACCGTGACTCCCCCCATACCCCTGCGCTTCCCTGCAGGGGACACCGGTGTGACCACGACTCCCCCCATACCCCTGTGCCTCCCTGCAGGGGACACCGGTGTGACCACGACTCCCCCCATACCCCTGGGCTTCCCTGCGGGGGACACCGGTGTGACCATGACTCCCCCCATACCCCTGGGCTTCCCTGCGGGGGACACCGGTGTGACCATGACTCCCCCCATACCCCTGGGCTTCCCTGCGGGGGACACCGGTGTGACCACAACTCCCCCCCATACCCCTGCACTTCCCTGCGGGGGACACCGGTGTGACCATGACTCCCCCCATACCCCTGGGCTTCCCTGCGGGGGACACCGGTGTGACCATGACTCCCCCCATACCCCTGGGCTTCCCTGCGGGGGACACCGGTGTGACCATGACTCCCCCCATACCCCTGGGCTTCCCTGCGGGGGACACCGGTGTGACCACAACTCCACCCCATACCCCTGCACTTCCCTGCGGGGGACACCGGTGTGACCATGACTCCCCCCATACCCCTGCGCTTCCCTTACCCCTGCGTTTCCCTTACCCCTGCGCTTCCCTGTGGGGGACACTGGTGTGACCACGCTGAGGGAAGCCGCCAGTGCCTGCTGTGTCACTGTGGCCATCACTCCCCCCCATGCCCCTGTGCCTCCCTGCAGGGGACACCGGTGTGACCACGCTGAGGGAAGCCGCACCATAAGCTCCGACACAGCAGCACACCACCTATCTGAAAGCAGAGTAGTGTTCCAGTCCTACTCCCCTTGAACCACTGTCAGAGAATCTCAATGAATTGTGTCCTCTGATACTGCGCCCGGACACTCGCGGCCTCCCTAGATCACAGAACACCAGTCACATTAGACAGAGCAGAGCAGGCTCTGGGTCTGGGAAACAGCAGTGGAGTTCAGGACCAGCGTGCTCTCCCAGACGAGTCAAGCGCTTGCTCTAGCAGGGAGAACGGTACCTGAAGGAACGAGCACACAGGAAGTATGCCAACGCAACATCTGACTCTTCACACCAGAGGAAGCAAGGAGGGGAGGCCGAGAGGAAGGCCACACAGCAGCCAGGGGTCAGGCGCTCCTCCTCGGGCTCCTCCCTTCTCACCTTGTACGAAAGCTGAACTGCAGACTCCGGGGGATACACAATGAAATGCCTTAACGTGAAGCCGAAGCCTTGAGGCGTTCTCTTCAGCGTGACGGTTTTGGGCCCCGGCCAGGAGAAAGCTTCGTCTTCGGACGGTGATACAGTTTCACTTTGTTCTTTCCCATCTTTATTTTTTGATACCTGAAGTGAAAAAGATGTTTAAAAGTTAACTGTCCTGAACACAATATACTTCCACACTTAGAAAAAATTCTGTGTCAAAATGTAATACCTGAGTAGGGACAGGAACTTAAGAGAGAAAATGGACTATATTCTGATGTATCCATTATATGTCTTACAATCAATCATGTAAGGGCTGGCGCTGTGGTGGAATGGGTAAAGCCACTGTCTGCAGTGCCGGCATCGCATATGGGCGCCAGTTCAAGTCCTGGCTGCTCCATGTCCGATCCAGCTCTCTGCTAAGGCCTGGGAAAGCAGTAGAAGATGGCTCAAGTCCTTGGGGCCCTGCACCCGCGTGGGAGACTCAGAAGCTCCTGGCTCCTGGCTCCTGGCTTTGGACTGGCACAGCTCTGGTCATTGTGGCCATCTGCGGAGTGAACCAGCAGATGGAAGACCTCTCTCTCTCTCTCTGCCTCTGCCTCTGTGATAACTCTTTCAAATAAATAAATAAATCTTTAAAAAATAATAATCAATCATGTAGTCATCATAAACTGAAGGTTTTTTTTTCTGGAAAACAATGATGCTATGAATCAAGAAAGAACACTTGGAAATTAGAAATATAATGTCTAAAATTAAAATTGCCATAGAAGGAATGAAGGATAACTCCAGGGAAATCTCACAGAGCCCTAGAGAGTAAGAAACACAAACTATGAAGAGACACAAAACTCCCTCTAAGGAAGCAGCCTAACCATTCATCACGTAGTCCAAAACAAACCGAGGATATTGGGAAATAACAGAGAAGGCCTCCAGGTGCTGAGCACAGAGCCAGCGTCCTCCTGGGTGCCCTGGCCGTGCAGTTCTTCCATCTGTCTTTCACACTCAGCCTTCACCTGGGCCCCCTTTAACAAACTCAGATCAGAGATCCAAGCAGAGCACCACCTACTGCTCCTGGGTTCACAGCTTCTCCTCCCCCAACCCTGATAAAACCCTGCAGTCCAGGCCTGGCTCCCAGCAGCCCCTGTCCTCACTTCCCTCTCCAGCCTGCTTAGGTCGCTCCTTTGCTCTCTCAATCCCTCAGTCACCTGCCCAAATCTAACCCTCCAGACATCAGCATCGCCTGCTCTGGGTCTGTGGCTATGCAGGTGACAAGGGTGGAAACAGCAGTGTTGCAGGTCCAGGACAAAGGCATTTCTCTCTGCTCACCCTAGAGCACTCTTCCCTCCCCTCTCCTGTAACCTCACTTGCAGCAGATAAGCCTGCTTCCCACCACACAGAGAAAACAGAAGAGATACATACGGTGGGCAGGACCGCCTCCTGTCTTGTCTCCTGCCTCCACCCCGACCTGGTACTGCAGCCCACACGCTCCTACTCTTCCCAGAGGGGGTTCTAGCAATCCTCTGTTCGGGGTCATTCCCCTCGGCATGCACACATTTTGATTTTTTTTTTTTTTTTTTTTTGACAGGCAGAGTGGACAGTGAGAGAGAGAGAGAGACAGAGAGAAAGGTCTTCCTTTTGCCATTGGTTCACCCTCTAATGGCCGCCTCGGCCGGCGCACCGCGCTGATCCAATGGCAGGAGCCAGGTGCTTCGCCTGGTCTCCCATGGGGTGCAGGGCCCAAGGACTTGGGCCATCCTCCACTGCACTCCCTGGCCACAGCAGAGAGCTGGCCTGGAAGAGGGGCAACCGGGACAGAATCCGGTGTGCCAGTGCCGTAGGTAGAGGATTAGCCTAGTGAGCCACAGCACCGGCCATCTTTCATCTTAATTACAAAATCCTCTCTCAGCCACACAGCGCTCTCCAGCCACAGCTTTGTTTCACCTGCCTCTCTGTAGAGCACAACTCCCTCAAACCCGCCTGCACTTGCTGTCTCCAGCTCTCCGCTTCCCACTTCTCTGGAATCCTCTTAAATGATGCTTCCACCTCCGTCACGCCCTGAAACTGCTCGTCACAGTCACCGTGGCTTCCACTTCGTTCAGCTGGGCGGTCAGGCCTCATTTCTCATCTATGTAACCTGTCAGGTACATCCTTCTCTTTGGAAAAGTCTCCATTTGACATCCCACGTGAAGTTCCCTCCTGGGCTGCTTCTGCACAGGCTTCCTCCCACTTCTTCACGGGTTAAATTTCTGAACCTGGAAGTACCCAGGGCTCAGTCCATGGACTTCTCCAGCTGTACTCTGACTACTGGTGATCTTGTTCAGCCTCATGCACTAAATACCATCTATATGACGATGACTCCCATTTATCTCTAGTCCATATATCTCCCCAAACTTCATACGTCTGCATTGCAAAGAATTTTTTCAAATTACAACCCTAAGTTCAAGCCAGCATTTTTAAAATGTCACTTGTATCAAATGGCAAGTATTTGGATACTATATTTTTTATTTCCCACTGGTGACCTGCTTCATATAAAAGTTGGCATAACAGCCACATAGTAACACTGCCCACCCAAACTTGAAGTAGGGGTAGCCATGAGAATGAGAATGAAAGTAACACGCAGTATACAAAAATCAACAGTGTTTTTACACAGTAGCAACAAGCAATTGAAAATTGAAAAATCACTTAAAATGACAGTTAAATATGAGATATTTAGGGATAAACCCGACAAATGATTTGTAGGACCTGTAACGAAACTCTAAACCACTGAGAGATAACAAAGAATACCTAAACAGATGGAAAGATACATGGTGCTTGTGGTTCTGAAAATCCTAAATCGTCATGATGGTAAGTCTCCCCAAATTGATCCACGATTCAATGCAATCCTCATCAAGTTCCCAGGAGATTTTTTTGTGAGATGTTGCCACACTATATCTAAGATTCACTTGAAAATGCAAAGAACCTAAAATAGCCACAGCTTTGGAAAAAAAAAAAATGAAGTACAGCAATCCAGACAGTACAGTGTTGGTATCAAGATGGACAGATAGAGTCAATGAAAAGAAGAGTCCAGCTATAGACCCACAACAACATGATGTTGCCCTTCTACTCACAGAGAAATGTATGCATATGTCAACGCTGTGCAGTATTATACAAACACTTGTGAACACAAACAGTTCTGGAACAACTGGCTATTCATGTGCGAGAAAAGAACTTGGATTCATAGCTCCCATCACAAACAAGCACTAACTCAAATGACCACAGACTTAACGTAAAACCTGAAACTATAACCTTCTGGAGGAAAACACAGGAGAAAATGTTTACAAATTTAGGTTAGGCTACGATTTCTTAGATAGGACACCAAAGAGGATGAGTTATTTAAAAAAAAAAAAAAAGACAAACAGAACTTCTTCAAAATTAAGAACCTCTGCTTTTTGAAAGACATGTAAGAGAATGAAAAAAGATACTTGGAATGAAAAATTTTTACAAATCACATCTGATAAAGATCTCATGTCAACATTTAGTAATTGTAAAAAGATGGGCAGAAGATCTGGGTACCTTACCAACAGCTTCTTTTGCAAATAAGCAGATGCCAACAGGAAAGTGTAAATTAAAGACATAACGCAAAGCCAACACACTCCTACTAGCAGCATGACATTACGCAGGCTCATCCATCACACCAAGTGGTGCCCAGGATGTAAAGCAACTGGAGCTCTTGGACACCACTGGTGATGGATGTTGTACAATGTTACACACACCGGACCACAGCCTGGCACTGTCACAACAAGTTAAATACACACCTCCCATAAGATGGGGGTGGGCATTCGACTCTCAGGCGAATACCCAAGAGAAATGGAAACATATCTCAATATAGAGACTTGTGCATCAATGGTCATAGCCACTTTATTTGTTATAGCTATAGATTGAAACGTTTCATCAATAGATGAATAAATACACTGGGATCTATCCAAACAATAACAGGCTGCTATTTAGCAATAAAATAAAAGGGACTGTTGATATATGCAACAATATGCTAACTGTGCTCAGGTAAAGAACCCAAGGGGGAAAAGTGCATACTGGATGACTCCTTTTACATAAATCCCTAAAACTCCAAAACTAACCTAAGCTCTGCTGACTAAAAGCAGTCAGTGGGTGCCTTGGGTGGCTGGAGGGAGGACAGGATCACCAAGGGGCATACAGGAATCTGGGGCAGCATGAATGCCCTTGCCCGTGGCCGTGAGGACGTCTCCAAGCTGTGTTCACGCACAACAGCATACAGACTGCACAGCTTGACTGCGTTCTCTGGCGTGTGTGTCAAACATACCTCTGGAAACTACTTCAACAAAAGGTGGGGCGGGAGAATGACGACCCTGAGACTCAGGAAAGTGGCTGTCCTGGGGAGACAGCAGAGTGCAAGTGAGGAAGGGGCTGAAACCTGGAGTTTCTCCGGTGGCACTGGTAACGAAATGAAGATCTGTGAAGGGCTCCTAATGGTTCGCTTTCTTATGCTATATAATGTCTGTATATATTACATACATTCTGTTGTATGTGCCTACGGCAAACCTAAAAAGTAAGGTGATTCTATAATTTCACATTGTAAAAAAGTAACTTCTTAATCATTGCTTTGTCATCCTTCCATACAGGATCAGATCTGATTCACCTTGTTTTATCTGACTCAGCATTTTAATATTCGGTTTAACACTGTGGTTAAGAACACAGGGTTTGGCAGCAGCTGAATCAGGCGCTAATCCCCCTCTGCCATTTGGGAGTGGCTGAATCGTGGATCTTACCTAGCCTCCCCATGCCTCAGCTTCCTCACCAATAAAATAAGCACAGAGCAGTCTCTCCGGCAACCAATGGGTACTGAGTGAGAAACACACGTAAGGAATCGAGGTTGTGACATCAACTGCCAGACTAAACACCAGCCAACGCTCTTCATCTTTCCTAACAGCTCTTTAAGTCACAGTGTGTCACAATTATGTTAACACACCTGTGTGTAACATGCAACTGGAAACATGCATAAAAGGAGGCAAGAGAGCTCTGGGAAGAACTCAGTTAGCAATCAACAGTGTTAGAAGCATTCAGATCTCAGATCATCAGCTAAATTTTTCCTCCCTATTTTTTAAGTTTTTTTTTTTTTTTTTTTTTTTTTT